GAGGCATCCAAGACTGCCAAAATGGCCTCAAGACGGCTAAGATGGCCCCAAGATGCCTCCAAGGCGGCCCAAGATGCACCCAAGACGGCCTAAGATGGCCTCAAGATGGCCTCAAGATGGCCTCAAGATGGACCAAGACGGACCAAGAGGCCCCCAAGAGGCCTCCAAGACGGCCCAGAAGGCGTCCAGGAGGTCTTCCAGGAGGGCACGAAGAGGCTTTTTTTCATTGATTTCCCCAAGGCTGTTGAAGGATTTTGGCATTTGCTTCTTCTCGGCATTCCGACGGCTCAAGACGGCGAAAGAGGCCCCCAAGATCGCCCAAGAGGCCTCCAAGATGGCCCTATGACGGCCCAAGAGGCCCCCAAGATGCCCACAAGAGAGCCCCAAAACGGCCCAAGAGGCCTCCAGCACGCCCAACACGGCCTCTAAGCCCTGATATGCCCCAAGAGGTCCCCCAAAACAGCTTCCGACGGCGTCAGACAAGCCAGGAACGCCCTAAGACGGCCAAAGAGGCCCCCAAGAAGCCCCCGAAGGCCCCCAAAAACACTCCAAGAGGCCTCCAGGAAGCCCCCAGGAGGCCCCCAAGAGTGCCCCAAGAGGCGCCCAAGAGGCCTCCTCAGGCCTCCGCCTCCTCCTCCTACTCCTCCTCCTCCTCCTCCTCCTCCTCCTCCTCCTCCTCCTCCTCCTCCTCCTCCTCCTCCTCCTCATCCTCCTCTGTTTTCCTCATTCTCCCCCTCTTCCTCTTCTTGCTCCCCCACGGGTTCCCCGAAGTCTTTCCAAACCGACTCGGGGAACAACTGGCCCGATAGCTTGGCCAAGCTCTGGCCCAGCTGTCGGCCACAGAGGCGCTTCCAAAGGGGCAGGGGGCGGCGGTGATTCGCCGTAGGCGTCTTTGATCCGCCGCCCCCTGTTGATTCATCACAGGGGTGCCTGGCGTGCTAGACCCTTTCGGTTTTGGTTTTGGCTCTTTTTCCAAAAGACCTCCCCCTGGGCCTCCGGCGCGTCCCGCGAGCCAGCCGAAAAGATTGCCCAGACCCGATTGCACAGGGTTGATCCTGCTCCAGACAGCTCCAAGACGACCCAAGATGGCCTCCAAGATGCATCCAAGACGGCCAAGATGGCCTCCAAGACGGCCTAAGAGGGTCCAAGCTACTTTCAGATACGCCCAAGCAGCCTCCAAGACGGCCCAAGACTGTCCAAGAGGTGTCCAAGAGGCCTCCAAGACGGCCCAAGAGGCCTCCGAGAGGTCCTCCGGGAGGGCCCGAAGATGCTAAAATCATTGATTTCCCTCAGGAGTTTGACCGATTTTCGTACCTGTTCTTTTTCGGCCTTCCGACGACCCAAGACGGCCCAAGAGACCCCCAAGAACGCCCCCAAATCCCAAGAGGCCTCCAAGATGGCCCCAGAACGGCCCAAGAGGACCTCAAGACGGCCCCAAGGGGCCCCAAAGAGGGCCCAAGAGGCCTCTAAGACGCCCAAGGAAGCTCCAAGACTGCCCTGGAGCACCCCAAGAAGGCCCTAAGCCGGCCCAGAGAGGCCCCCAAGACGGCTCCCGACGGCGTCTGACGGGCCAGGAGCCCACCAAGACGGCCCAAGATGGCTCTAAGATGGCCTAAGGGGCCTCCAAGAAAGCCCCCAGGAAGGCCCGAAGAGGCCAAAATCATTAATGTCCCTAAGAGTGTTGTAGGATTGTGGCATTTGCTTATTTTCTGCCTTCCGACGGCCCGAGACGGCCCAAGAGCCCCCAAAGATCGCCCGACAGGCCTCCAAGATGGCCCCAGAACGGCCCAAGAGGCCCCCAAGACGGCCCCAAGAGGCCCAAAGACGGCCTCGAGAGACCCCCAAGACGGCTTCCGACGGCGTCAGACGGACCAGGAGCCCACCAAGACGGCCCAAGATGGCCCAAGATGGCCCAAGATGGCTCGAGACGGCCCAAGAGGCCTCCAAGAGAGCCCCCAGGAAAGCCTGAAGAGGCCAAAATCATCGGTGTTCCTCAGATTGTTGAAGGATTTTGGCATTTGCTTCGTTTCGGCCTTCCGACGGCCCGAGACGGCCCAAGAGCCCCTACAGATCGCCCCAAGATCGCCCAAGAGGCCTCCAGGATGGCCACAGAGCAGCCCAAGAGGCCTGCAAGACGGCCCCAAGAGGGCCCCAAGAGGGCCCAAAGACGGCCCAAGAGGCCTCTAAGACGCCCAAGGAAGCCTCCAAGACTGCCCTGGAACACCCCAAGAAGGCCCCAAGTCGGCCCAGAGAGACCCCCAAGACGGCTTCCGACGGCGTCTGACGGGCCAGGAGCCCACCAAGACGGCCCAAGATGGCTCTAAGATGGCCTAAGAGGCCTCCAAGAAAACCCTCAGGAAGGCCCGAAGAGGCCAAAATTATTAATGTTCCTAAGGCTGTTGTAGGATTGTGGCATTTGCTTCTGTTCGGCCTTCCGACGGCCCGAGACGGCCCAAGAGCCCCCAAAGATCGCCCGAGAGGCCTCCAAGATGGCCCCAGAACGGCCCAAGAGGCCCCCAAGACGGCCCCAAGAGGGCCCCACGACGGCCCACGAGGCCTCCAAGACGCCCAAGACAGTTTCCAAGACGGCCCTAGAGCATTCCAAGAGGGCCCCAAGTCCGCCCAGAGAGGCCCCCAAGACGGCTTCCGACGGCGTCAGACGGGCCAGGAGCCCACCAAGACGGCCCAAGATGGCCCTAAGATGGCCCAAGACGGCCCAAGAGGCCTCCAAGAGAGCCCCCAGGAAAGCCCGCAGAGGCCAAAATCATCGGTGTTCCCTAGATTGTTGAAGGATTTTGGCATTTGCTTCGTTTCGGCCTTCCGACGGCCCGAGACGGCCCAAGAGCCCCCACAGATCGCCCCAAGATCGCCCAAGAGGCCTCCAGGATGGCCACAGAGCAGCCCAAGAGACCTGCAAGACGGCCCCAAGAGGGCCCCAAGACGGCCCAAGGGGCCTCCGAGACGCCCGAGATGGCCTCCAAGACGGCCCTGGAGCACCCCAAGAGGGCCCCAAGTCGGCCCAGAGTGGCCCCCAAGACGGTTTCCGACGGCGTCAGACGGGCTAGGAGCCCACCAAGATAGCCAAAGAGGCCCCCGAGAAGCCCCCGAAGGCCCCCAAGAGACCTCCAGGAGGGCCCCCAAGATGCCTCCAAGAGGCTCCCAGGAAGCTCCCAGGAGGCTCCAAGAGTGTCCCCAGAGGCTCCCAAGATGCCCCCTCCTCCTCCTCCTCCTCCTCCTCCTCCTCCTCCTCCTCCTCCTCCTTCTCCTCCACCTCCTCCTCGTCCTCCTCCTCCTCTACCTCCTCCTCCTTCTGATCTTTCCCGCCATCCTCCCCCACGTGTTCCCCGAAGGGTTTCCACAATGGCTGGAGGAACACATGGTCTGATAGCCTGGAAGAATTTTTGCCACAACGCTCGGCCAGATGGGCAATTCTAGAAGGCAGGGGGCGGCGGTGATTCGTCGTAGGCGTCTTCGATAACGCCATCGCCTCAATATGCGCTGATGATTCCTATCCGCCTAAGCATGATGTTCCCAGATGCGCCAAGGCAGCGCCGAAACGCACCAACGCGACTCTGATATATCCCATTATGATAGAGAGGGGGCCGGCGGCAAGGGGCGAAGCCCTTACGGATACTTGCAACAACATGTGAAGATGGGATTCGGGATGGGAAGATCTACTGTAGCGTCCGTCATGCGTGCTAGTTTACTCGGGCCCTCCTCCTCCTCCTCCTCCTCCTCCTCCTCCATCTCAATCCTCGCCTTCCCTCCCTCCCTCCCTCCCTCCCTCCCTCCTGGTTCTCTTCCCGTGAAGCAGAATCAGCGTAGGGAGTTCCCTAAGTATACCGGCTAATCCTCAAGCCCCAGGAATCGCACCTCGGTGCCTCAATCGCGGCGCTTGGGCGATAACTCTGGGGTGCAAGGCACACCCCAGGGTAGCTAATACCAAGATGTGCGTTAACTATCCAGGTTGTTTCGTACTTTGGCAACACTCTTCGCTGCGCTAGATATTCGTGGGGCAACTCACATATATCACTACATTATGACTACCGGCATGGGCCATCACTAAATCGCTGCAACGCCAAATCGCCTCTAGCGAATTGCCTCCGCCGCTTCTTTCAGGTGCACCACCGGCGACGTCCCAATCGCAGGGAACCCAGGGCACTGAAGGGCGTAGACCCATTCGAAATCCCCTCCTGCGGCAGTACTTCACTGTTTGGTGTTTTGTTCGTCATTTCCTCTTGGCACGTGCTGTGAGGACGGTGTGCTTAATTTCTTATGAATCATCCCACCGTTCAGGGAGCCAGCCTTCACAGATGTATGTGTACGTTGATCGGTGTTGTGCGTGTCTCCTGCGACCGAGGAGATTGATTATCCCCTCCCTGCATGTTCCATCTTTCATCATCTTCCCCCTCTTGTTTGCATCATCCTTGTCCTGATCCTCCTCTTCATGTTCCTGCCACTCTCCTTCTCGACCTCCCTGCCACGTCCGCCAACCCCTTCCGTCCACGATCCTCCTCTTCATTCACCTTCCCTTTCCCCGCCCTCCCCCCCTCCATCTCTGCGTCCTCGTAATCCTCTGCCTCCTCTTCCTCGGGCCTTTCCGATCCCTCCTTGGTTTCTTCGTCCTTCCCTCCCGTCTCCCCCTTCACGCACCGCTGTCCATCAGCACTCCTGCATCCTCCTCGTCCTCCTCCGCCCCCGCCCCCGCTCCCGCTCGCGGAGGCGGACCGCGTCGCTAAAGTGTCCCGCAGTCTGTTGGCCGTTCGCGCTAGGGCGCCGAGCTCCGCAAAATTGGCGCGGACTCTCGACGCGCGGAGTGGCGAAGGGCCCCGCTTCCGTCGCCGAGTCGGTCGAGGCTGGCCCCATGCTTCGGGGGCCCAGGCACGTGGATCTAGCCGCACGGCTGGCACTGGCCAAATCCGTGGATCTGGCGCCCACGCCCCAGACCCCTAGTCTGGGTTGCAGGGATCATAGACGGCCACGCCTTCTGGGGCAGCCGCGCGCGCGTGATCTCGCACACGGTCCCGGGGCCGAACGGGCCCAACGAGAGGGTCTGCCACTCCTGCACCGCGCACCTCTTCTTGATCGAGGCCGGCTGGGCGAGGTCCCTGGGCGGGCAACGCGAAAGTTTCATCGCCATCATTATCCCTTTCCTCCTTCTTCTTGTTCTCCGCCTCCTCCTCCTCCTCCTCCTCCTCCTCCTCCTCCTCCTCCTCCTCCTCCTCCTCCTCCTCCTCCTCCTCCTCCTCCTCCTCCTCCTCCTCCTGTTGTCTCTGCTTAAGTTGCGCAAACTTAGGGCGGCAGCCTGGAACGTTACTGGGCGAGAGAAAAAGGCTTATCGAATGCCGACTGGGGCCGAAAGCACACTAGTTGAGAATGGCGAGCGCAGCCGAGACAATAGAACTGACAAAAATGCGGGGGGGGGCGAAGGGCAAAGAGAATGCGCCCTCCAGGTCGCTTGTTTATTGGGAATAGGACCCATACAATACCTGAGTACCATGAACTGGGAGGATTCCGACAGAGGGAGACGAACTACAGCTGCAGGGGGTCTGGCGCAAAGGCTGCCGCAAGAAAGTGTACCACACCCAGTCACATGAAGGCCCCTCCTCATCATCATCATCATCATCATCATCATCATCATCATCATCATCATCATCATCATCATCATCATCATCATCATCATCATCATCACCATCATCAGCATCATCATCATCATCAGCATCATCATCATCTTCAACATCAGCACCATCATCATCATCATCATAATCATCAGCAGCATCATCATCATCAACGTCATCCTCCTCCTGCTCCTCCTGCTCCTCCTGCTTCAGCTCCTGCTCATGCTCCTCTTGCTCTTCCTCCTCCCCCTCCACCTCCTCCTCCTCCTCCTCCTCCTGCTCCTGCTCCTGGTCCTCCTCCTCCTCCTCCCTCCTCCTCCTCCTCCTCCTCCTCCTCCTCCTCCTCCTCCTCCTCCTCCTCCTCCTCCTCCTCCTCCTCTCCTCTTCATTACCCTCCTCCTCCTCAAAATATAATGTTTATTACCCTCCTCCTCCTCCTCGTCCTCCTCCTCCTCCTCACTACTCTCATCCTCCTCATCCTCCTCCTCCTAATCCTCTTCCTCCTCTTGTTATTTATTTTCTTCGTACTAGTAATACTATTAGTACGAGTATCATGAATCATATTATCAGTGGCGTCCCTATTATCATGATTTGTCTTATTCGTATTAGTGATCATATTTGTTCTTCCTCCTCGTCCTCCTCGTCATCCTCCTCATCCTCCTCCTCCTGCTCTTCCTCCGCCCCCTGCTCCCATGACAGATCCAACAGGGGGGCCCAACGGAGAACCCCAACGAACATGTCGAGCCATCGGCACCCATGGCCCCAGGAGGTTCTAAGGGTCCCCAAGAGGACCTGGCATAAGGTCCCCAAGAGGTCCCAAGAGGCCCCACGAAGCCTTCTAGAGCACACCCAAGAGTGCCCCAAGACGCAGAAACCATTGATGCACCAAAGGTTTTTGTTGGATTTCGGCGTTCTCGCCTGTTCGGCTTGTCGACGCTCTAACACGGCACTTGAGGCCCCGGCACTGCCCCAAAACATGCCCGAAAGCTTCGAAGAGGGCCGCCAGAGGTCCCAGGACGGCCTCCACACAGCCCAAAAGGCCGCCAAGACGGCCCAGTCGAAATCCGATACCACCCACAAGCCCGCCCGAGCGCAGCCTCTCTGCGCCGCGCCCCCGATGTGTATATGATCCTCCTCATCCTCCTCCTCCGCCTCCTCCCCCTCATCATCATCATCATCATCATCATCATCATCAGCAGCAGCATCATCATCAGCATCATCATCATCATCATCATCGTCGTCCTCCTCCTCCTCCTCCTGCTCCTCGTCTTCCTCCTCCTCCTCCTCCTGGCTCGTACCTGGGGGCGAACAAGTTCGTCTCACTGGCCTGCCTGGCGCATCCTGCCGAGGCTGGCTTTGACCTGCGGCAGAAGACTCTCAGACTCCTCCTCGGTTAAGGGGTGGAAAAAGTCAGCCGAGGGACGGAGAGAGTGGGCAGTGGTATACAAGATGAGAGCGGCAGCACATGGTTCGAGCGAGAGACGAGTGGGGGCACACACACCCAGACGCTCAAGAGGACACGGGGGAAGAGGAAATGGGTGAGAGATACGATACATAAGCACTAGACATCTGGAGCATTGTGACCAGTAGTGGAGGAAGGTGTCGGGGCCTCCACAACCAAATATACACCCTCTAAGGTTGACATCGTGAAAACGGACAGAGGTGACCCACGCTCCAGCTAGGGTCTTAGTGACAGCGCTGCTAAAACTGACAGGTTGGGCTCTCAAAACAACTTGAACGGCAGACCAGTCGATTGCGGCTATCTTAGCTCTGAGCGCAGGGAACCAACTGCAATATCTTCGCGCACAAGCGTCTCCGAAAGAATTGGGAAAGACCGCCTGCCGGAGCATCTCGGCAATTTCCCGCTGGATCTTCGGCTTTTGCCGCCGTGGAACCGCGGTGGCCAGAGTTTGACAGGCTGCCGAGCAGACATCATTACCAGCCCGAGCAAACAGAGGGTCGCCTTCGAAACCTGAGGCAGCCTTCTGCAAATTCTGGACCAGGGGCAAAGAACGCCAGTGACTGGGAGACAATTTGCCAGCAGCGATCTCCATGAGACTTAAGTTTTGCTGAGCGGCAGCGGCGAGCGTGGTGAATAAAGCTTGCCAGTCAGGAAGAGTGGCAAGAGCCGTACGAAGCAACGCGGCAGCAGCTGCGACGGCGACGCTGGGAATCCGAGGACCACCCCACTCCCGCCACCCGAAGAATGCAGCGCGAGAGAACGCACAGTGTGGCATGCGAAATAATGCCGCGAGCAGTGCATGCTCGCGTCTATACATGTCACAATTGTCTATATTGCTAGGCAATGGTATATACTGCGCTATATATGATAGGGTGGGGACGGCTCGCTTACTATACAAATACTGAGTGATAGACGTGGGGGCTCGAGCTCTTACAATTCCCCCACCACGACGAAACCACTTCTCGAGGGGGGCCTTCCAAGCTTCAAGATCGGCCCCAGGCCCCAAGACAACACCGAGATACGTCAGAAACGGAACAATCTGGAAGGCCCCCCATTCGGGAATGTTGGCAGCCAGCCAGTCCGTAAACGTTTGAATCAGCTCTGGGGTGCACTGACCACCCAGTGGGACTATATAACATTTTGAGACCTTCAGAGTGAGGCCTGCAAGCTTACGGCTTAAATCGAAAGGGCGTTTCAGTCGACGAAGATGAGCCAGCGCATGTAGTGCAGCTCCGATATCATCCGCACACGCACGGGCAATTCCGCGAACTCGACCATGGTATTTTCTGGTAGTCATGACACCAGAGGCCTCTCCAGAAGTGAGTATTTTGTCTATGTCCGCTAAGAAGGCGTGGGAGGCGATCGCATAGAGAGCACCAAAGGCCGGGCAGCCCTGGATGATCCCGCTCTCGATCATGAACGCGAACATCAGCTCGTCCGCGGCGAACGTGAAGGTCCGCACATTTTGATACAGGCACCAGAAGAAGTGGAGGAGAGGCGTCGGCAGCTGCAAACATCGGAGACATAAGAATATCCATTCATGAGCGATGGAGGGGAAAGCCTGACCGCAATCGAAAGCCACAAGACATGGCTTGCGAGAAATGGCGACGTCGTCCCTGGGGCCCTGCATGCTGAAGATCCTGGAGTATGTATCAAGCTCTAGAACGTTGGTCCCGAAGTTCCGCCCGCCTACGAAGCCCCGCTGGATCTTGTGGATAAAAGAGTTCAGGGACCGACTCAGCTCTCGGACCGCAACCCCCGTCAGGATTTTGTTTGACGCACTATTTAATCCCAGGGGCCTTGTCTGGGATCCACTCCTAGTAATAGCCACCTCACATCCTTCCTCGTTGCCTTCGGGGACAAAAACCTTCCTGAGATCGTCGAACGTGACCAGGGGTATATTTCCTTCTAAAATCCACCACGGCATTTTGCCCAGGAAACAAGCGCCAGACGGGTGCCGTTGCCAGGCCGCAAAGGGCAGACCATCAGGTCCTGGGGCAGAGTGCACCTGGGAGTCCACGTACCCCTGGAGACCTCTGAGGGTGGGCGGCGGAAGGTCACGGAGATCAGCTCGAGGGCCGAACTCCTCTAGATATCTCCGAGCACTGGCAGTGGCGATGGGCTTATGAGAGAAGACAGGGCGCCAGTGATGAGCCAGAAGATTCGCCATGTTCTCGGACTCCGTGCAGACCCCATCCTGCGCGCCGAACTCCGCGCAGTACCAGACGCCTGTCGAAAGGCGACCACAGTCGTGACCTTGCTATGAGCCCTCGCATCCGCCTTCGAAGTTCCATCGCACTTCTCGAATCGGGGTTCGATCGGATGGCTTGTCTGACTTCGTTTTGATCTTGCTCAGCGATTTGACGATGTATTTCGGCAGATGCTTGGAGGAACTCAAAGCCATGCAGAAGTTGAACTCGATGTTCAAGGAGTTCAACACTTAAATAGTGCCTGGCTAGATGGTGCGACGCCCTGAGTCGTTCTGCCAACCTAACGTCTTGACGCCAAACAGCTCGACAAATGCTTTTGATGATGAGGAATCTGGCGGCCACCGACTCTGGGCGTGTCACTATCATAGCATCCCGTGCATATTGAGCAGCTTCCCTCATGATACGGGCGTGGAAATCCAGAAGTAACGGGGGGGACATTGAGGAAGCATCAGTGTTTGATATATTATGCGTATTCATCCTGTCGAAATACTTCTTCGGGAATAGGTCGTTGTCTAGCTGGAGCGGGGAAGCTGCTCGCAATCTCGACCACAAGCGGCGCGTGGTCGGAAATGCCCTCCGAGGATAAGACCTCAGGGTGCTCGACTACCTGGCCACTAAACTGCACCTGGCTGCAGACCCAGCCTGGGGAAGAGACGAAGATCCGATCTATGGTGTTCAGGGTCCCCAGGTCCTCATTGTAACGCGCGGGGTCGGGGGTGTCGATTTCGGTCATGGAGGAGAGGATGGGGCTGACGATCGGGTCCTTCGTAGCACGCCAGAGTTGAGCAGGAAGAGTTGGATCGGGGCTTGGGACTGCG